CTACAATCGGCAAAAAAGTAGCTAAAATTTGCACAAGACAGTAAAATAGGCCATAACCAGAACAAACTGTGTAAGGTTTTGTAAAGATTTAGAAACTATTTGAAGGATTTTAAGGTTGTTGAAAATTGCCCCAATTCAAAGTCAATGGGGAAAAAAGTGGCTAAAAAGTTGAAATAGCTAAAAAAGTAAAAATAGCTGAAATACCAAAAGTCATAGCCGGTATTGCACGAAAGAGCTGAATGTTTTGATATATGAATGGTTGAAGTCGCACAAAAATTGTAGAACGAGAAAGATGCCGAAAAATGTACGGAAGAAAAAAAAGATCTCAATGGTGTGAATATAGGCATTCACACMATTAAATTTAAATTTTTTGAAAAGTGAATCCAAATAGTTTATCTTGTCAAGACATGTTTTAATAATTGGTTGTTGTTTTTTTCCAGGCCTCAACGAGAGAACCATTGAGAACACAGCGAGACCAAGTAAGTCATTTCTTTCTTTAAGAAGTATTTTTTATCCAAGTCAAAAATTTTCAGGTATAATCTTACTTTTTGTGTTCACTGAACTATTTCAAAGTACAAGAACATATCAGTTTATTGTATGTTTTAACTATCTCTTTTTATTTTTAGGTCCTGACATTTATATGTCTAATATGCAGAGTAAGTCCATACATTTTCAGTCGTTGGTTTTAAGTAGAATTATTGGTTTTAGATTGAATATATAAAAGAACAATTAATTATAACTCACCTCACTTCAGACTGTTTTTGTCATTTTAACGACTCCAATACTTTTTAAAACATTTTAGCTTTCATGTTGTATGTATGTATGTATGTATGTGTGTGCAGGCACTGATCTTGGCAGCCCAGAGGCACTCCTCAAAAAGGGTGAGTCTTTTCAGTTTATTTTATTTAAACAGCAACAAAGTTATTTCAGGTTGAATTTTAAGACTTTTTGATAGCACAGGCTTTTATTTCAATTCAGTTCAATTCAATTCGATTCAATAACACTTTATTTGTCCCAGTCACAAAGTAGCAGCACAAACGTAAACCTATTATAT